AGAGATATTTGTTTTTCCAGTATTCCCCAACTGTGTAACTTCTAAATTCATATTCCTAATTTTTGGTTGAGGTATCTGGTGGGATACAGAGGTAACATTCAATGCATTTGGTGCTCACGAGGTTAGGAAAGGACATGTTACTGATTTCATTTGAGAGAGAAGGCATAGTCCATGAATTTATCACCTCTGTCTTTCATTCTTTTGTACTTTAGGCATGCCTACACACTTAAAATCTTGGCATTTGCAAGAGAAAAAGAGGGCGGAAAGTGAAAACAGCACACATTAAGGGCAGGAGCACTGACTCAGTCTAGTGCTCACTAATTTATTATTTTGGCAATCTAACATTTCACCTGCTTCCATGCTAGGAAATCCTTTTTGGATTCTGCTTTGTGTATGCTTTGTGTATCTCACATTGTGCTTAATTTTTCTATCCACTGCCAATACATTTTTGAACTTTTTAATTTGGGGAAAGTTATTCTGAGGTTACAATGCATCTAAACCGCATTGATTGGTGCATGAAGCAGGAATGGAATGTGCTACAGCATGAATATTTTATACAATCAGAAGATTTAACAACATCTGAAAGTAAAATTATTTATATTGGCTGGTGCTTTGAAGGGCCATGAATGAACTGAACAAAAGTGTCCTGAAAAATAGATATGTACTACATCTCATTCTTGGGAATTTAATGGTTGGAGAATTCTGGAACATTGCATTTTTTCTTTGGATCACACTGAATCAGTCATTCTAGGAACAGTTAATACACTGAATCGGAAGTTGTTTGTACTATATATGTGCTTCAGATGAAACAAACCTGTTTCAGGGCATGACCATCTCTGAAACATCATAAACCATTTTCAGTTTAGAGAATTATTAGAAAATCTCCAGAATGACTGCATTAGTATGGTTTAAAGGAAAAATGGAAAGTTCCTTATGGAAGGAAAATTCCTGTAATAAAAGGAACTACAAAATGATGGCAACGTGAGGCATTTCTCAGTTACTGAATTTTTCGGAGTATAAGACACACCGTTTTTTCTCAAAAAAGAGGCTAAAAATCTGGGTGTGTCTTATACACGGAATACAGCATTTTTTGCCTTCTGGAGCTCACCCCCACTTCCATAAGGCGGTGCAAAGCCTTATGGAGGCTTTCAGAGAGCTTCTGGGGGCTGGGGAGGGCAGAAATGAGCAAAAAATGGGCTGCTTTTTGCCCCCCCAGCCCCCAGCAGCATTCTATAAGCCTCCATAAAGCTATGCATGCAATTCTTTTGACAAAAAATTACATTGATCAAGTGCTGTACCAGCAGAAACACCTACCTATCTACTGTATTTCTCTCTCTCTGTCCCTCTACCTACCTACCTACACACACTCACTCCCTACCAACCTACTGTATTTCTCTCTATTCCTTTATCTACCTACCTACCTCTCTCCCTACCTATCTACTGTATTTCTCTCCTCTCTATTTCTCTCTCTATCCCTCTACCTACCAACTTACCTACACACATTATCTCCCTACTTACCTACTGTATTTCTCTCTCTCTCTCTCTTTCCCTTTATCTACCTACCTACCTAACTACTCACTCACTCTCTCTCCCTACCTACCTACTGTATTTCTCTATCTACCTATCTACTTTTTTTTAAAAAAAATTGCCTCTTCAAAACCTTGGTGCGTCTTATACTCCGGTGCGTCTTATATTCCTAAAAATATGGTATATCCCCATAAGAAAGAGGGATATAGGAAGTATTAGCAAAACAACAGGTCTGAAATAGGCTCAGAAGGAAAGCCTGATAATATTTCCCCTCCCCCCCTTGAGGAGACATGGTTAGGAATATTTTTAGCATCTGCCTAAGATTTTGGGAGAAATAGAAGAGAGCCTATTTAAAGGCTACATTTAATTATTTAATAAAAGTCATTTCCCTTTGTTTCTATGGTAAGCAAGTGTCTGTAATATCTTTTATTTGCTCCATGTTCCATCTAAATGTTACCTTTAAGACTTTAAAGTACGTCTAAATCAGGAAAGTTTAGTGGTGATAAACTTTTAGATAGAAATAACAACAGCAAGGAGGGTATATGACAACCATTCAGAAAGCATAAAATGTTTCCCTTTGGTATCACTAATCAATTTTTGTGACTGCATTCATATGGCATTCTTTCTATGGTTAACAATTTTCTCTATCCTGTGATCTGAATTCATGCAACATACTGAAACAAACTCTTAAGAGGGACTTACACACATTGCTTGCTTGACCTCACCATGGTAAACTGGCTCGTTGTATTGTGTTAATAAAGCATTAATATAAAGATGTAAAGCTACATTCAGCAAAGTAAAATATATCACTAGCCAGTAGATTAAATACCATGATTCTAAAAGGCATGTAGTTCTTGATTTGCAACCATTTACTTAGTGATGGTTCAAAGTTACAATGGCATTGAAAGAAGTGAGTTAGACCAGACCTCACACGATTGTTACAGTATCCCCATAATCATGTGAACAGAAGTTGGGTACAAGAGAAGTACTTGGCATGTGGGATGTATTTAGGACAGTTGCAACATCCTGGGGTCATGATCACCATTTGCAATCCTCCCAGCCAGCTTGCAACAAGCTAAGTCAATGGGGGAAGCAAGATTTGCTAACAACACTAGCAAACACATAAATGTGATTCACTTAACTGCAGTGATTCCCTTAGCAGCCATGGCAAAACATTGTAAAATTGGGCATGACTTTTGGAAGAAATGTCCTTCTGAGTTCATTTCCAAGTGGGGAAAAAGACACTGGAACATGGAGGCTGCTTGGAAAGTTGGTTTAAAGGGGGACAGGATCACATGGTTTGAGCTGAACAGAAAAGGGGGGGGGATCACATGCTTCAAGATGTTGGGTGAAGAAGAAAAAGCAGAGATGTTGAAAAGTCCCTAGTTTTGTGCCCACTCTGGCTTTGAACTTGGACTTGTATTCTGATTGGTTGTCAGACTCCCATGGGACCATGCAGGGGCAACTCTAGGCTGTGTTTTGAGTCAAAGTTTGGTTGAGCATTGTTTCTTCACAGGTGCCATGTTGTGAGATGAGTAAATGGCTAATACTATCATGTCTTAATCCCATCACTCTGGAGCTGAAGGGGGGATCTTTGTTATGTAGAATCGACTGGCTCAGGCCTTAATGGCTCATTGACAAAGGGGAGGTGTTTCTGTCTCCCATTTAGAGGAAATATTCTGTCCTTTTAATATTTCCTAAAACATTCCATTTTCTAGTAGAGGGGTGGGGTTTAGCTTCCTACAACTCACTTAATTGCCTTGCTTAGAACAGGAATTGTAATCCCAATTGTGGTTGTAAATCAAGGACCACCTATAGTGAAAAGTGGGTGGGTTATATCAATATCTAGGAATTTGTAAATAATGCGAGGCTGTTTTTCAAAGAATGAGGAAAGGGATAGTTAAAGAAAAACCAACACAGACAGGTTTTAAGAAGAAATATAAATGCTTCCAATTCACCAGAACTGAAGCAGCTTCTTGGATGAGGAACAAAACTTCAAGGAAAAACAAAAAAAAAAATCCATAAGAAAACAAAACTCTTGAAAAAAAGCACATTTGGGACAGAGGTTTGCAGTATTTCTTAAAATTTCAAATAAAAAATATTGATGGAAAAAGGTTTTGAGATGTTAAGGTTAAACAAATAGGACAGTTCCCAAACGGTTCAGAAATGTGAATGATTCGAGGTGTAAAGGAACGTGACTACCTTGCTCTTTATTAACCAAAATTCAGGAGGCGCCCTCCCCTACGTGCAAATTGCTAGAGTTCCGGGTGAAAGAGTTAAGTTGAATTTAGGGTAGTTTTCAACGGTCTCCCGGCTGTTGGGCGGGAAATTAGAAATTTAGGTTCCCCTTTTTCACTCATCGGAGAAAGATCAGAATCTTCGAGACTGCCCTTGGGCAAGCATAGAGGTTGCCGGGCTCGTGGACA